TCCAATCCATACATAATAGCTTCCATCTGCTAAGCCCCAGCCTCCCACTCCATCCCTCCCCCAACCCCCTCCCCCTTGGCAACCACCAGCCTGATCTCTGTGTCTATGAGTCTGAAGAAATCGCAGTTGTCACCCCTACAGGTGGACGGGCTCTCCTTCCTTCGTCTTCAAACCTCCTCCTTGGCCATTTTCTTTGCCCACAGCAGCCCCCTCATCCTCACTCTCAAGCCATCCCAACTTGTCACTCCCTGGCGCGAGGACACACTTGGAGTCCCGGAAAGGTACAGCTGGGAGGGGTCTTGGAAGTAAGCCTCCAGCCCCTCCCTCAGGAGATAGTGCGTGAGTGTGCCTAGCCCTGAGGCTGTGACTCTCCAAGCCTGCCGCTCTCCTTCCCTGCGGGGACTCTCCCACTGCACCCTCCTGCCCCCTCTCTCCCGTGGGGCTGCTTCTCCAAAGAGGACCAAATCCTTCATCCGTACCTACCCATCTCCTGGCTGCAAGAACTATCACACTTGAACTCAGTACTTTGCTTTGATGGAAAACTTTTTTTTTTTCCACTTAAAAATTTTTTTAACTTAAGTTTTATTTTATATTGGAGTTAGTTTCAGGTGTACAGCATAGTGATTCAGTTATACATATACATAAGTCCATTCTTTTTCAGATTCTGTTCCCATGTAGGTTATTATGGAATACTGAGTAGAGTTCCCTGTGCTATACAGTAGGTCCTTGTTGGTTATCTATTTTATATCTAGTAGTGTGTGTATGTTAATCCCAAACTCCCAATTTATCCCTCCCTCCCCTCTTTCCCCTTTGGTAACCAGAAGTTTATTTTCAAAGTCTGTGAGTCTGTTTCTGTTTGAACCCAGTACGTCTAAAGCTCATTTTACATGTAACAACTTTGGGATACAGTTTTGATTCCCAAATTATGAGGCTCCCAATTTTAGATGGGACAGATTCATGGCATTAAACCTCATTGAATCACATAGTGAGAAACATGTTTATTTTCTCTGAATTCCTCAAGAGAAGCCTCAAAAAAAAAAAAAGAGAAGCCTCAAGTCAGTGCTGATCTGTAGCTAAGTCTTGCTCCATTCCCCTTCAGCCAGGAGTGAGGTTTAGCAGAAGCAGAATCCAGCGAGAGTAAAATCACATCTGATTATTGTTTTGTTCGACTTCATTTTATTTATTTTATGAATGCCTTCTCATATTGACAGTTGGTGCTGGTATTCAAATTGAGCCAGAGGTTAAAGGTTTCCATTTTAAATAATGTTAAAAATAAAGGAAGAGGGGGCTTCCCTGGTGGCGCAGTGGTTGCGAGTCCGCCTGCCGATGCAGGGGACGCGGGTTCGTTCCCCGGTCCGGGAAGATCCCACATGCCGCGGAGCAGCTGGGCCCGTGAGCCATGGCCGCTGGGCCTGGGCATCCGGGGACTGTGCTCCGCAACGGGAGAGGCCACAGCAGTGAGAGGCCCGCGTACCGCAAAATAAATAAATAAAATAAATAAATAAATAAATAAATAAAAGGAAGAGGGACTTCCCTGGCGGTCCAGTGGTTGGGACTTCGCCTTCCATTGTAGGGGTTGCGGGTTCGATCCCTGGTCGGGGAGCTAGGGTCCCGCATGCCTTGGGGCCAAAAAAACAAAACATAAAACTGAAGCAGTGTTGTAACAGATTCAATAAAGACTTTTAAAAAATGGTCCACATCAAAACAAATCTTAAAAAAAAAAAATAAAGAAGAATCAACCTAAATAAAACATTAAGTAGATAAAATTTTGGTGACACGGGCTATGGTGCCACACGCACGCACGCACACACAAGGTCCTCCAAGCAGTAGAAACGAGGCTTACAGAACGGTTCACAGTATCTACTGTGGAGGAGGGTGGTTTGGACAATGCAAACCTCTCTTTGGCCTCAGAGGGCATTTCTGTTTACCCAGGCCATGAATAAAAATACCTCACAGCATACATTTTAGTCAGCAAGTATTCTACCCTAGTGGAAATGATTTACTGAAATTTAGACCTCCTCATGAAATCCAGCCCAAACTCTGATTTGGAAAACCAAGAAGTCCTATTTAGTTTCTGCTGTCATTGTTCCTGAACCACGCTGCCTGCATAATTAGTGACATATAAAGTTCTTAATTCTCTCTTCTTCTTTCATCCGGGTGTCAGGAGATTGGTTTCCTTTGTGCTCACTCACTAAGAATTTGCTGAACTGATTATTCAGTTTGTAATAAGTGGAGGTCACCTTGGTCCATACCTCACTTGCTTCACACCTGCAAAAAGACCAGATCTTCCATGTGTCAGTGTTACTTGACGGGAGAGCAGTGAAGTTTCTGTCAATTGAGGTTGTACGTCTGGCAGCCAAGAGTGTCCTGTAGGTATTCTTTGCAGGAAAAAATATGTTTGAGGTGACCATAGTGCACAGATTCTCTTAGAGCTTCAAAGTATTTATAACTTGTTATTTTAGATTCTGAGCATATTTGTAGCTCCAGAGGTACAAAAATAAACTACACTTTCTTGGAAAATATGTGTGTCTGGGATGTAAGAGGAGTTGCAACCTTAAACAAGATTTCCAGGCGTTTACAGTCGAACCATGCCAGTAAAAATATGTTTTCTTCGATGTTAAAATCCTAGGGTGCCCACGTAAATATCCTAAGCAATGTGTGTTACGTGAGCTTCCTTTGCTAATGTGCTTTAGCTTTGAAGGTCTTTAGTTCTGGCTCCTGGGGTGTTAATGTACTACAGGGAAAGTTGAACTCAGATGGCAAGTCTTGTTTGCTGTTCAACACAGTGGATGGTGTGCTTCCCACATTCAAGAGAATTGTTACTAACGGAGGTAAAAGTCACATCACAATTGATGAGGTAAAACTCCTTGCTTGTAATACTCCTAGCAGCGTAGAGGTTTTTGTTGGGCAATGAGAAAAGACAGCAGGTTTACCCATCACTCACTCTTCAATCATCTCTGTCTTAACAAGCACCACTTAATTTTCCGTTCTCTGCAAAGCTGTGTGGGGAGGTGGGTACGCGGAGAGGAGAAGCTGGGAGGAGACCCTGTGCTCATGGAGCCTGAAGTGTGATTTGTTTCATCAGTGTTTCCAAAAAAATCAGGATAAATTGCTTCTTCGGTCAAAATATAACTTTCCAAAAGTTAAAAAACAATACTTATTCAAATATGCAGTAAGCACATGTTGAAGACTTATTTCACTCATTAATGAGGGAAACAGTCAGATGACAAAGGTGGTTCAAAGAAGGATATGAAAAAAATAGGTAGGGAGGGAGGTAGGCAGACAGACACATAGGGTGATTGGAAAAAAGAATGCTGGAATAAGGTGGCAAAGTTAGACCCAACTGCTTAATGTCCTACAAGGCAATAAAACAATAATCTTTGGTTATATTTCAGCCAGGCAGGAATCTTTGCACCTATACTAGGCACATATGATTTATAAGTTACCAGTCTTCTACAATCTTTACAGAGTCAAGGTCCAGTCAGTAATAAACAGTAAGTCAAAGGAAGTTACATTTCCCGAGACCGTTAGATGACTCGTGTAAGTTTGTCAGTCAGTGCGGCGTATGCATTGCCCGAGGGAACTTCCTGCAATGATGGAAATATTCTGTACATGTGCTGCCCAGTGTGGTAGCCCCTGCACGTGTGTGGCTGTTGAGCACTTGAAGGGATTAATCTCCAGAATTTACAAGCAGCTCATGAAGGTCAATATCAAAAAAAAACAAAACACAAACAACCCAATCAAAAAGTGGGCACCATTGTAAAGCAATTATACTCCAATAAAGATGTTAAAAAAAGAAAAGAAAAAGTGGGCAGAAGACCTACATAGACATTTCTCCAAATAAGACATACAGATGACCAAAGAGGCGCATGAAAAGATGCTCAACATCACTAGTTATTAGAGAAATGCAAATCAAACTACAATGAGGTATCACCTCACATAGGTCAGAATGGCCATCATCAAAAAGTCTACCAATAGTAAATGCTGCAGAGGATGTGGAGAAAAGGGAACCCTCCTGCACTGTTGGTGGGAATGTAAATTGGTGCAGCCACTATGGAGGTGCCTTAAAAAAAAACACCTAGAAATAGAGCTGCCATATGATCGAGCAATCCCACTCCTGGGCGTATATCTGGAGAAAAACATGGTTTGAAAGGATACGTGCACCCCAGTGTTCATTGCAGCTCTATTTACAATAGCCAAGACATGGAAGCAACCTAAATGTCCATCCACAGGTGAATGGATAAAGACGATATGGTACATACATACAGTGCAATATTAGCCATTAAAAAGAATGAAATAATGCCATTTGCAGCAACATGGATGGACCTGGAGATTATCATACTAATTTTATTTAATTTTCATTATTTAAATAGCCACACGTGATTCGTAGCTATCATATTGGACATCACGGCTCTCACATGCCATTAAATGAGCAGGCAATCATTTTTCTGCCTTGTTTCCAATCTTGGATAATATTTTTCTAAACACTTTGCAAATTAAATTGTGTTTTAAATATTATCATGAGAGCTAAATATGTAAAAGCATTTGGAGAAGACTCCTTTGGAAAGACCTAATTCTTTCACGAAGCATATAATTTCTTCTGCAAATGGAATGCTTCTTCTATTGGCTTTCTTGACAGTGGACTCACCTGATACTGTTCCGGCCAGCAAGGGAGCCACTTAGGAAGTTAAGCCTGTTTGGAGTGAACCCAACTCTGCGTTATGTTTTCCAAGTGAATTCACTTGGTATTCATTTTCTTTTAGCAAGATAATAACGGGCAAGTCCAGTTTTGATTAAAAGGGGCTTTCTGGTTTGCAGCAAAGGGAGAGAACTGACTATTCATATTTCACAAGGATTTTAAGGCTTAAATAAGTTAACTTTTCTGCTGCCATCACTTCATTACTCAGAACGAGCAGGCAATGCATTGATAAGGTTGGCTTTGATTTCTCATGAAGCTCAGTAGTTTTGCTTAATTTTCTCATCTTCTTGGTTGCTTGCAGGGGTTTTTCCGCAGAAGTATTCAGAAGAACATGATTTACACTTGTCACCGAGATAAGAACTGTGTTATTAATAAAGTCACCAGGAATCGATGCCAGTACTGTCGACTCCAGAAGTGCTTTGAAGTGGGAATGTCCAAAGAATGTAAGTGGAGTCTCCAAAAAATTCTTTTCTCTTTGCCTTATCTATAAATATGATTGCTCAGCCTCCAAAATCAAGTCGTGGAGGACGTCAGCGTGTGGAATTCAGACGTGACACGAATGATAGTTTGCCAAGGGGAGGTGTCAACAGAGATGACATGGAAATAGAACAACCGTGGGGATTTTCAGATACAATTTGAGTGGCAGTGGTGAAAAGGCAGGCGCTGGGTGTCGTGGACAGCAGGCTTGTATTCCAGAGTGGTTACAAACCAGCTCTGTGTCTCTGAGCCACTGGTAACTGGTCCTAGAGCCACATGGAGACCCTGTTTCCCCATCTCAACAGTAGGAATAAAGAGTTTTGCCTGTGTTGATGAGAATAAAACGAGGCAAGAGGCATGTGGTAATAATGTACCCTTTTTCAGAGGGTCCATCGACCGTGGTAATAATGTACCCGTTTTCAGAGGGGAGGGAGTGTAAAACTTTTGCTGTCGAAGAAACATTTAGAAACTTGGCATGTTGGCATTTTTCCAAACTCGATTCAGCCCCACTCCTCCAAACAATTATTCACTTGATTAATTCAGAAGAGAACATTTGAATAGATTAAAAATGAGTGGTCCATAATCATTGGCTTGTGGGGCTTTGAATTATACATGCAGAGTACATATACAGGCAGAGTACATACAGCACCAAAAAATCACGAAGGGAACGAGAACGTGCCAGGCGCGTGGCCGGGCCCAGGCAGGTGTAAGGAAGACGCAGGGATGTGTGCCTGGTTGGGTGCTCAGTGGAATCGCTGCCCACCTGCCCCCACTACGTCCTGACACTTGAGCATCTGAGTGGGGCACTGGGCGGGGCGCTCTGAGGGGCCCTGGAGATGCTAAGCCACGCCCACTGACCCCTACGAAAGTGAGACGAAAAGCCACAGTCCGACAGCGGGGTTTGAAGGCTTTATGTTGGTTAGACGCTCTTGGATTTTGGAACTGGGACGTGTGGCCATGGGAGCGAGGCCCCTGGAGCCGGGCAGGGCTTCCCTGAGAGTGCGCAGCTGGCCGACGGGAGCTCTGCTGGGAGCTCTGACTTGGGATGTTTCTTGGCGGCCTGCCCAGTGTCTTTCCTGCCCCTCGCCTTTCCTAACTCTGCCCAGGGTTTACATAGGCTTTTCTACGTCTTGGGTTTCTACTCCTCAGGGAAGACATCAGGGTTGGATCCATTCGTTTGACTCAAGCCAATCAGTATAACCTGTCCCAGCCACAGTCATTGGTTCATGGCGAACGTGTAACCTAGGCTGGTCCAGTGAGAATGAGTTCAAGACTCATGCTCGTGACCCATAAAAGGAAAAAAATGGTAAATCAGACTTCATCAAAATCAGAAAATGTCTGCTGTTCAAATGACACTGTGAAATTAATGACAAGCCAAGCCACAGACGAGGAGAAAATATTCACAAATCAAATATCTGTTAAGGACTTATATGTAGAATAGGGAAAACCTCTGAAAATTCAATGATAAGGAAGGAAATAACCCAATTTAAAAAACTAAACTAAACTAAAATTCAAAATTGCCAAGATTATGAAAGACAGACAGACTGAGACATAACAGCTAAGTGCAAGGCATGATCCTGGTGACCCTGCAGTGGAGGAAAGCTACCTATAAAGGGCATTATTGGGACAGTTATTGAAATTCGAATATAGGTTGTCAATTAGAATATCACATTGAATCAACTTTGTATGTCCTGACTTGGATCACTGTGCTATTGTTACATAAGAGAATGTTCTTATTCTTGATATGTGCCACTAACTCTCCATGGTCCAAAAGGGCTGTGTGTGTGGGCGGGGGGGGGGGGGGGGGAGAGAGAATGAAAGAGAGGAAGAAAATGTGGCAGGATATTAAGACTTATGAATCTGAGTAAAGGGATTCACAGTGAAGGAGTTCCTTGTGCTATTCTTGCAACTTTTGAGCAAATTTGAAATTGTATCAAAACAAAATTACTAGAACAAAAGACTCATGCTTAGAATGTTGGGGCAGAAGTGTCCTGCCTTCTGATGCATGTGAACAAGGAGACGCAAGTGTTCTCCAGCCCCAAGGGAGGTCAGCTATAGGACAGAGCAGGCTTTGTGGATGGAAGAATGGAAAGACAGACAGAACTCGGGCCCTGACTGGCATCCCTGAGTTGCCAAACCCACCACCCCTGGAACCTCTGCCTCTGGATGGTTTGCTTCTCTCTGCCAAGGACTCACGAAGGCAGTTGAGGCTGGGGTCTTATTCATAATTAAGGTCCCGATGAGCAAGCTTGGGGTCACCAGACAGGGATGCATGCTGGGTATGCCGTCCCTTCTGGGAGGGTCACCTCCTCCAGGTGGTTCTGTTGCCCGCATCTCAGCCAGGTCCTTTGATCCCCTCCAAACTTTAGAGCTATTGAATGACTCTTTCCTTCCAGATTGAGTTGGTGTAGTACATTCTTGGTTATCAGAGTACTCATAACTTTGGGACTTTGAAATGGTAAATATTTGTGGTGTGTGAAAAAGCATGATACCTAATTGTATGATCTTAATTACATAAACATGGATGCTTAGTTGTGTAAATACAGAAATGAGACCTAGAAGGACACATCAAATGGTAAACTGCTCGGGATTACGGATGACTTTGTTTTTTGCTTCTTGTGTTTTTTGGTTTCCTATTATGCACATGTTAACTTTTAAGAAATAAATGTTATTTTAAAAACCTTTTAAAAAAAATCAATGAATGTGAAGCTTTGAAGCTAATCTTTACTTAGCTCAGTCCCCAAACCCTAGCACTAATGAGAAAAGCATGATATTGCCCTGAAATAGACAAATTATTTATATGTATAAGCGAGACTCACAGGATTATCCCCCTAACTCCCCATTTTTGGTCTGACATTCTGTAGATGTGGATGTTACACTGCAGTTCTGTGGGAGAATTTCAGTTCAGGCTAAAATTATAAATGAGTAAGCCAGATGTGGACTGGGGGTAAATCAGTACTTTTGCATTTATTTTGCGTGGGCTGGAGACCCATTTCCTGCTTACATTACTTAAAACCCATATCCTGCTTCTCTGTAAAAACTGGAAAGTTGGTTGCCAATTAAAAAAAATAATGTTTACACCCACAGGAGAACTCTAGTTTCAACCCTCAAGGGACTTGTCACCTTAATTAGATTTAAAAATATAGAAATGGGAAGAAAATGGGATCATTATGCCCAAGTAAACAAAAATAAATATATTTTCTTCAGAAGGAAATTGAAGGGGAAGAAATATCCACTTGGAGTACAGTGACCGAGAGTCTAATAGAAAATTTTTAAAGTTGAAACAGAAGGAAGCAGGAAGATATGAGAATCACTAATCAATTATACCACAGTGCCCACCACTGAAACAAACCCAGGAGTAACAGAGACTCATAGGACGGTGGAGCATATGAGAATCACTAATCAATTATACCACAGTGCCCACCACTGAAACAAACCCAGGAGTAACAGAGACCCATAGGACGGTGCAGCTGAAAATGGATCTTAGAGACTGATTTTCACTCACCTCTCTCCTTTGACATACGAGTACATCAGGACCCAGAAAGATGAAACGCTCTTCCCAGCAGATCCCCAACTGGCTAAAGACAGAACCAAGCTTACAGCTCACATCTGCCACCTCTGCTTGCCATGCTTCCTTTGCAGCACCAAGATTAGCAAGGTTTGCATTCCATTGGGGCCAGAGGTCATGTCACTTCACGAGTATGTATCAGAACCCTTTGGACACAAGGGGCAGAAAACCCAGCTCCAACCTGACATAAGCTAAAAAATCAACACATGTCACTGGATGACACGACTGGATCCAAAGGCTCACGTTTGTTTTGGGGGCATTCTCATCATTCCTCTTCATTTCTCAGAGCTGGTTTGCTTTTTTTGCTGTGTTGGTTTTGTTTCTGGGAAGACTTTCCAAATGGCTAATAAAGATGGCCAACCAATAGCCTACCCGGCAGAAAGAGAGAGCCTCAGATCCTCTGTGAATGCAGGACTTTGGGGTGTTGGGGGCTGAATACGGTGATTGGCTAGTTTGGGATCGTGTGCCCAGCCCCGGACCCACCCAAACCACAAGAGCCAAGGGTGTGGAAGAAGTGTTTCTTGGTGGGAAACCAGAAAGTCAGGAGGCAGAAACAACTTCATGTTCCCCACGAAATATCGTCTCACAGCGCTGTTCCCAGTACGTTCTTATTCTTTATGCTGTGGGGGACAAGAAAGAAAGAAACCTGAGAATCATCCCATGGTAGCCGCTGACATAGACGCGGTGTTTTCTATGGGCCAGGCACTGCATTAACCTCTTGTAATACTTCATACCATTTGATCCTCATAACAACCCTGTAAGGTAGGTTAGTTATAATTCCTCTCTCCCTCCTTTCCAGCAAGATGTGGAAGCTGAGGCACAGAGAGGTTAACTTACTCAAGGTAACACGGTTGGTAAGGTGCAGCCCTGGGATCTGGGCCCAGGGAGCAACATATACTGCATGCCGTAAAAAGCAGCCTTGAAAACTCTGGGTTTTATTGCCAGTGGTTAATAAAACAATAATTACACTCCTTGCTACGTATTAGAGATGTACGCCCTGGAAAATCATGTGCAAATTTAATTTTCATAGATCACATTTGGTTTTAAAAGTATAAGGGGATGTACTGGTAAAAGAAATCCTTTATTGTGTGTCCCGTCAGCAAAGCATGATTATTTCTTCATTTTTCTGTTCTGTAAATGCTGGTGGGTATGCCTTATATTTTCCAAGGGCTTTGTACAGTAGGGGAACCTTTTTTGTGGAGGAGTAGCTCTTTGTCAGACCATGGGATTTGAAAGCGGTAACAGTAAGGGGAAAAAAATCGATTTTCAGCTGCATTCTAACAGCAGTACAAAAATTTATGAAGAACTTGGGGAGGAAGCAAAGGAAGTAACACGACTCCCAAGTTGAGTGATGAGCTTCTGCTGGTGGGTGGGAGGCTTGTAACCGTGTCAGGCAAG